ACCCAGGTGTAGGACCTTGCACTTGTCTTGGTTAAACTTCATGAGGTTGGCATCAGCCCACCTCACAAGCGTGTCCAGGTCCCTCTGGATGGCATCCCTTCCCTCCAGCATATCAGTCGAGCCACACAGCTTGGTGTCGTCAGCAAACTTGCTGAGGGCACACTCAATCCCACTGTCCGTGTCACCGACAAAGATACTGAACAACACAGGTCCCAACACCGATCCCTGAGGGACACCACTCGTTACTGGTCTCCAACTGGACACTGAACCATTGATCACAACTCTCTGCGTGCAGCCATCCTGCCAGTTCTTTATCCACTGAGTGGTCCATCCATCAAATTGGTGTCTCTCCAATTTAGAGACAAGGAGGTCGTGCGGGACAGTGTCGAACGCTTTGCACAAGTCCAGGTAGATGATGTCAGCTGCTCAAACTTAAACAAGTTAACCTTACACTACCTTGGCAAAAAAGGGGTGATACTCAGTGGCCAAGAAGGGACCTCTGTGGTGAGCAAAGTGGATCAGATTGATGATCCTGGAATGAAGAACTAAGTAATCCTGCATTTACACAAGCAGAAAAGAAAACCCCCTCCCAGCACAGCGATGGAATAAGCAGACTTCAGAATTCTCCAGTGCTGAGTACGAGATCATAACAGATACTTCTCTTCTTTCAAATAATGATTAGAGTGAAATAAGGTATTAATGTTCTGAGGTGCTGTAACAACCACTATCTTGCCACCCAGTGCAGCAGCAGTTTGGTCTGGAATAACCCAGAATATTTCAGAGTACATAAACTGCAAAAAAGGTTAAAGGTATTGCTAGAATGCAGCTCTTTCTACTTGCTTTTTTGCAACCACTAGAAATGTAAGCACTCACCTCTATCGTGAAGTGTTCTCCTGTTGAACAGGTTCTAAAATACTTGGATCTGGAAAAAGAAGTCTACAGTCACACTACAGAACAGTCTTCAATTTACAGCAGAAGGAAAATGAGACTGATATTTTTAAATAGCATTTGAAATACGTTAAGTATAAAATGAACATAAAATCTTCATACACTAAACACATTTACTTGTTAGCTTGGGCTCTGCATCACTGCCACAGCAGAAAGAGGCAAAGCATGGAAACATCTGTGGAACTGAAGACAAATGTCTTCAGGTGAAAAGAAACCCCTCATTGGGATACTGGACTTGACATTTACAGACACTTGGCATGCTCTGCACCACTTTTAATACATTTTTCCCCCTCACAAAACATTATTCCAGGCAATTTCTGAAAACACCATTGCTCACCATGGCACGTCAGTGGCACAGCATCTCATACAACATCAATGCCAAACAGTATTTTTTATTTTGACAGCTTGGCACAGTTAAGAGGTTGAACCTAAGAGAAAGGTATCGACAGAGGTCAAGACTGTGCTCTTCTACTACAAAAAATTATTCACAGCCTGTAGGTTTATACAGGGAGTCAGTCTTCTTGAGTCTTTAGCTTAACACCATCGTCTATGAAAAAACAATACAGCATTAAGTTACCTAAATACACTTTTGCCTAGCAAAAGAGGTTTGGCTATCACCCAAAAGAACACTCAAATGCAAACCAGTGCTTCAGTACAACATCCATCTCATTTAAAAAGCAGATATTCCAGTTGCAGGTGCTGACTGATATCAGGAATAAACTCAGGCATTTCTATACTTGTACTTGAAGATTGTTCCATACTTCAACCAGCACCTACTTCTACTATACTAAAAGCAAACACCCAGCCAAAGCCTGAATTATTTTAATCCCACCACATTTCTATCCCCAGCACATTTTTCTTTATAAGTCAGTCAGGGTACATCTCCCCTGGCAACTTGTTGCACAACCCACTTCTTCCTCATTGCACACCCCTTCTTTCCTTCTGCACAGCAGTGTACCTCACAGTGCACCACTCTGCTGAGTAAACTCAGTTGAAATAAAAGTCACCAATCAAAATGCATACAACTTTTAGTATTCTCCTTTAAGCTCTCCTGTTCCATCATCTTCTAAAACAAACTCAAGAAGCACTTAGGTTTGATGGGAACTAAAGAAAACCATTTAGCTAATAGGCCACCAGACCAATAGACTGTCAGATCAATCTTCAAAGAGCTAAAGCTATTAATAAGACTAACTTTGCAGCACTCCATACACATACTTGTTTTTTTCTCCTTTTACGCAAAGTCATGTTACTTTATTTAGGAAAAACAAAAACCAGCTTCTACAGATTATATGGGGAAAGAAGTCACTAAAAATGAACATTTACTATATTAAAGCCAGGGCATGAGTTAAAATGACTTTTTCCACACTAGTGACAAAAAAGATTGTTTCAATTTTGCTACATACCTTCTCCCAAACTAACCAAGTAAGAACCTAAATAAATAACCCAGAGATATATAACCAAATAATAAATAAAGATCATAGAAACAAATTATAGCTATTTCTCTCTCTTTTTTTTTTTTTTCTCTCCTTTCTTTTAAACACTCCTCCAGGAGTAGAGAGGAATACTTACGGTTGAATATACTAACAAATTAGCCATGACCTACTTCCCAATTACAGCTGCAGCTTGTAGTACTTTGAGCAAAACTATTTCAGCTGAAGCATAAGGAAACTTCCTAATACAAATTACCAGCTGGAAGTTGGTACTTTTACAGAAGGTTAACCTTATATACACTAAAGAAGGTTTTGGTGTTTCATCTCTCTCTGCACACACTCACCGTGAACTCCAAAATCCTGCAGCAATTCATACCCAAGTCCCCAAGATTTTAAGTACAATTCCAAACAAAGGTGATTTATAACCTTGCAGGATACTGAAATGCTTGTAAAAACTCTACACATCTTTCCATTAATGGTTTATTTCATACAGTTAAATCTTAAGAGCATCTAAGAATAACGAAGCACTAGTTTTGGGGGGGATCTGAGTGATCCCCATTAACTCAGTAAGGTACCCGATTATGGGATGCTGTTTGGCAAGAAGACAAATATGCAGAATTTCACAGCACTCTAACTCCCATAGAAAATTTGTAAGACATATTTACGATTTTGTTTTTATTACAATTCCCTGCACCTCCCACCACACAGCAGGAGGAAAATACTTAATTACAAATGATGCAAAGTACTGCAAAAGTACAAGAAAAAAAAACACAAGGGAAAATCTAACAAAAAATATAGGAAATAGTCACTTTAGAGCAGACAGAAGGTTAAAAGATAACCATCTATGCTGAATTTGCTGTTACAACCAGAAGTCTTGTGCCTTTTTGGACTCTGTCTCCTACCTAGTGATTGTCGGTCAGTTAATAATGTCAGTTAAAAGTTATTGGGGGTGAAATAAAGGACCAAAAAAGCCCCACAACCAATATTTTAACTCAAATCTAAGCAATAATTTAAAGGGTAAGTATATGCTGCCAGCGACTTATGGTCACTACCCTCAACCACAGAAAAAAAGGCATAATAAACTCATGAGTGGAGACTCAGGAAAAAACACCTGCAAAACAAGAACCTCTTGAGAATTACCTGTTTTTCTCAGCACAAGAAACAGGTAGCTAAGTCCTGGCTGGTGCATTTCAACTGCTCACATAACCTCTGCTACAGAGCTCTGCCAGCTTAGGCAGGTATCCACACACACACTTGTCCTGGTCTTCCACCCTTTTCTCTGACAAGTTCTCCTAAAAGGACAAGCAGAAGATGGGATTTGCCTGCTAGAGGTGGTGAGGAAGCAGAGGTTGTGAGTTTGTGATGGGCAAAATGCTCTGCATGTCTGTCTACAGCTATTATGTTATTATCAAAAATAAGAGATCTATAACTACTGAATACAGGCGAGTATACAGACGAAAACCACGCTCTTGTACAGGTAATATGTACACTGCTCTACTGCCCGAACTGGTTGTACAGAAGAAAACGCGGACCCCAAATTTCCAAGATAAAAGCCAGTTTATTGGAACCAGGATGCTCCTGGGCTTCTGTAGCACTCAGCCACAGGGAACACAAGATGATACTCCAGGAAATGCGGGGCATTTCCACCTTCCCACAACCATAGCAGCCTGCACAGATTTCGGCAACCGACCTGAACACCCTCTTTAAGCTGCTTCCGGGAAAAACCTACCCGGCAAGAGGAGGAGGAGCAGGACTGTCCCCGCAGCCGACTACCAAACACCTGTCCGGAATACCGTAGAACGGTTCCGTCCCTCTCCCCTCCGGGCCGGGGCCGGGCCCGACA